GGATTAAAAGATTGGGACAAATTTCCAATGTTCCATACCACACAGCTGTTGTGATAAAAATACATTTCCATCAGCTGTTAAGGGGGCATGCGCTTTTGACATGTATTGCACAAAAACAACAACCACTAGTCCTTAGGAATTCCGGAGAGTGAGAAAATCCATAAAATATATTCATACATTCCGATAGACAGGCTATGTATGTTGGTTGTTTTTCCATGGTAATGTTAAAGAAGATTACAGTGGAGGGGATAATTATGCGCTATAAACCATAAAAATAGATAGAATACATTCGCTTTAGTTATATAAGTAGTTAGAATACATTCGCTTTAGTTATATAAGATCATTTTATGGCTTCACAATCTCTCTGAGGATTCCGAATGTGCCTTAAAGTGGTTAGAAAATATTTCACAAAATACTTTTTTGCTAATGTGAGCCCCGAAGAACCAAGAGTGAATGAACGTACCATATATCGTTTTGGGTTTTACGTAAAGCGACCAGAAACAGAAAATCTTCCTAAAAAAGTATAATTATTGGTCCACTTATTAGAATAGCTCCCATTTAACTGCACCTCCAAAATGTCGGCACGTATTTCAACCAAAATGTAATTTTATATTTTGAATTTTCATTGGGTTAAAAATCTCAAGGAATTGATTCTAATTTGATATTTTGGATTCTTATTGGGTGTCAAATTCTCCTACTAATCCTCGTATATACAGTGACGAGCAGAAATGAATACATGTTTGTACATTGGACACTTTTTACGTCATAAAAATAAAAATATAAAAGCAAATTCCAAAATTTTGGTTGTATTTTATAACGTACTTCGTACCTAACAAATCAACCTAAAGTTAAAGAATTTAACTCTTTAATTTCTAAGAAAAAAAAAACAGAGAAAAGTAAATCAACTCCAATGTACTCACTTTTGCACTTTTGAACAAATTTGCAGAATTTGAATATTTTTATTCATTATACCGTAGTTTTATATTTTTAATGTATCATTTATGAAATTTGGCATATTTTCAACCAATTTTAGTACAATTTCATTGGAATTATTCTTCCAATCACCTCAGATCCACTACCAAAGTTCGTCTAAATTATAAGGGCTGATTGGTACTGTCCCACCTCTCTCTTTGCGATTGGCCCCAAATTATCGTTCGGATAGATGTCGAAACTTTGTGCAGACCATTGTGTTAATTCAAAATTTTGCTAACGAAGATATTCTCTCACGAATTTTGACGTATATCTTAGATCACCGTCCTGCACATAATAACTTATACTACAGAATAGGCGTACTTAGCTACCTAAACTGACTGATATGACTCTACAATGATCTAAATGGACTTCTTTCATTATTATATTGTCAATTTTTTTAACATCGGTCCAGGACCCACAAGATAAAGCCTTCGCATACCATGTCAATTCTTCAACCGTGCTTCGCATTTGGCCTTTGAATTAGTTTTCATCACCAATAACGCTTATCGTCGGGTTGAAAACGGTTGAATTTGGATTCGTCGGACCCGTTTGACGCATATTTTGGTGTTAAAACTTATCAAATTACATTTCCCTTATCATTAGACGTGGGTCCACACAACTTATAAACGGTGTACGACCTCTAATTTGAGGTTTGGGAACAACGGAACACCGTTTTTGTACCCATATGACCAATAATTGACACAATTTAATTCCCTTTGCAATTTCCAGGGTAGAAGAGATTTTTCAGATTTTTCCGAATGTCCTCTTGAGTGGTTATTATATATTTTTCTTCTTGAATTATTATTAGTTATTTATTTGATTTTTGTTCAAAACTTTATACAATTTTTTAGTAAACGGGACTTAAATGATGTAAAACTTATATATTTTCTTAAAAAAAATAATGAAAACCAAAAAAAGATTAAAAAAACGTGATTTTTACATTCCTTTTCTGCACATTATTAAAACAAATGAAGACGGGCAAAAGTGAGTACATTGGGGTTGATTTCGTTTTCTTTATTATACCCTTCACCACACTGTGGTACAGGGTATTATGTCTTTGTGCATATGTTTGTAACAGGCAAAAGGAAACGAGATAGACACATGGTTCCTTTTGAGAATATGCATAGAATCACTTTTTAAGTCAATTTATGCATGACCGTCCGTCCGTCTGTCTGTCCATGTATTTTTGTGAACAAAGTACAGGTCGCATTTATGATCCGATTTGAATGAAATTTGGCATAGGTCACTTATTCGGCCCAAGGACGAACCCTATTGAAATTGGGAAAAATCGGTTCAGATTTAGATATAGCTCCAATATATATATTTAACCGATTTAATGTAAACGGTCCCTATATATCCTTCTATTTGCACGAAATTTGGTACAGCCTAATCATTTAGGTCTAGAATGATGCCTGCCAAATTTCGTGAAAATCGGTCCAGATTTAGATATAGCTCCCATATATAGTTTCGTCCGATTTCATGTAAATAGTGCCCCAAAGTCTTTATATATCCTTCGATTTGCACAAAATTTGGCATAACGTACTGAATTAAGCCTAGAGTGATGTCTGCCAAGTTTCAAGAAAATCGGTCCAGATTTAGATATAGCTCCCATATATAGTTTTGACCGATTTCATGTAAATGGTGCCCCAAAGTCCCTATATATCCTTCGATTTGCACGAAATTTGGCATAACGTACTGAATTGAGCCTAGAGTGATGTCTGCCTTATATATTGATTTTAAGTAATTTACGCACCTGTGACAAGTGTGTTTGAAATCGCTTAATATTTGGATAGAGCTTCCATATATATTTTCGCCCGATTTCAAGTAAATTGGGCATCAAACTCCTCATGTTAGTCAGATTGACATTAAATTTTGCACAACGTACAAAATTGAGCATAGAATTACGTAGTTGCGTTTTCTAGAAGTACAGGCATAGCCCAACGGATGACCTATTTATATTTGTTTGAAGTCGATTTACATTATTTATGGACAGATCTAGGTAGATTCACATTTAGATAAATATAACATATTATATTTCATCCAATTTCATGTTAATAGTCCTGTTTAATATACCCATAGTGGTGAAGGGTATCATATAGTCGGCCCCGTCCGACTTTACTACTTTCCTTACTGGTTTTTTCTTAGTTATTTTTAAGAGTTAGATTTTTAAATTTAGGTAGTTTTGTTAAGTACAAAATACCCAATAAAATGCAACCAAAATTTTTGAAATAGCTTTATTAGTTTTATTTTTATGACGTAAAAAGTGTCCAAAATGCAAACATGTACTCGTTTCTGCTCGCCACTGTATATAATAGAACATTTTTGTTATTTGTAGTAGTTTGATATATTCAAAGTCCTGTCAAAATGTTCCAACCTGAGAGTCTGTAGTTTGATATTTCGATATTTAAAAACTTTGGCGTCAAGTCTAGTTTATGCCCTAGCGCGGATCAGTTTCTATTGTAAATAGTTCTAGGTGTCCTGATTATATGTAGTTCTTTTTTTCTTGTGGAAATTCAAATTTTCTGAGAAATAGGAAAAATATTCCGAAAGAACAATTGTATTTTCCTATGATTTTTTTTTTAAATTCACAATGCAATACGATAATCAACAAGGTAATTATTTGTATTTGTTGGAAAACATAAAAAATAAGGAAGATATTCACCGATTGGATTTATCCTAGTTCATACGATAGATATACACTCACAGAGAAACGTGTCAAAATTTGGAATCGATTGGATCAGTAGTTTTTGAGTTATTGTGCCCGCCATTCGTACAAACACTGTTTCAAGAAAAAGCGTTTTATAAGGACATTCTTGAATTAATGTAGGTTCGAATTAAATCAAAAACCAAAATTAAATTTTTTGAAACTGAAAATGGGTGGGGTCATCTTAAAATTATATTCTGAGGCGTAGCCGGTTTTGGCATCTCTCCATAGAAGATAGTCTATTTAAGGTTCCCAGTGGAATTTTGGAAGCCCATATTTATGGGTTAAAACTTAAATTTTTGTAATAAGAACTTTAACCGCTTCAAATTGATACCCATATTGCCTCAGTGAGTTTTAAAAGGCATGGAAAGACATAGGGGCCTCAGCGAAACATTGGAGGTCCATATTTCAGAAAGTATGGATATCTGAAATAAAAAAAAAGATATCGTTCTTTGCTCTTATTTATTAGTCTCCTAAACTTATCACAACTTTTATCCCCCACTGTTAACCACAAAATTACGATTCTGCATTACGCTGTTATACTGATTAACATTACCATTTCAGACCCAGGAATGTTAATTAACAGAGAGCCAAAGAACATTTTTTATCGTTCGGTTCAAGCCATTGCCCATGAAGGCTGTTTGCTTCTGTTTCTTTAATCAGTTCTTCGTGGTTGGTCGACAAGTGTTGAGCGCTTAAAACTAAAATATCCGAGTCTTAAAAATCGAAATAAATTTGTCGAGCGGTGTTTACATCAAAACGAAATTACGGTATAAAAAAATCTTACCATTAAAAGATATACGGAGGGAAAGAAGAGAGTGAGCGAAAAAGGAAAAATAAATAATAGAAAGTTGGAAAAATATATTTGTTTTTCCAGATTCTGTGTTAAAGAATTTCGAAGCGATTAAGAAAGTTTTCAAACAACAACAGTAATAAAATAAATTGATAGGGGATTTGCTTAATTAATCCCTTTTTCGAAGTGAAGTGAAGGAGAGAGAAGGAGGGAACATTGAAGACCATCCCCTCTTCCAGTGCTTATTCATTTCAGATTTTTTTAGTGTTGTGTTTTTGTGCAAAGTGAATATTCTGGAGTTTTCAAAAAAGAAACAAAACGAAAAAAATAAGGTTAACTTATTTTTTTGTTATCAGTGGTGGAATTAAAGGAGACATAACCACAGCTGGAAAAACCAATTTTAAAAAAATTATTCAAAAGGAGATTAAGTTGTTTAACAAAAAATAATAATCTGTGCAAAGTGCTTTGGTGACTTTGGTATCCTGTTTGTTTTCCATTTTGAGGCCACCATCATCGAGCAGCAGTCAACCGACCTATCGAACGACAGACCATCAACCCTTCTTCACAAACAAAAATTATAATGTTTAATAATTTTTGTCCAATTGATTGGATAATACAGCCAGTTCAATGTCAAGATGTAAGTTCACAAAACACACACATACAAACTCACACTCATCTACCACAAGTATGTACTTAGTTGTATTTGTAAAATTTCTTTGTCGGAATTAGACATATTTTGTTCTACTGTTTTATTTTTTTCTTTTTCGCCTTCCACCACTCCTTTCAGACAGTATTTGTTGTAGTCATTGTTTCTCCCCTCTTTTTTAACAGTATTTTTTTATTGCCCCCCATGTTATGGGTCATATTCTGTTTATCCAATGTTTTGTTTTTGTCATTGTTTATCGATTTCTAACGGAGAGAGGAGAGCTTATGGAGAGTGTTTTTGTGGTGTTGCAAAAACAGAGCCGTGTGATATAAAAGAAGAGAGGAACGAGTGAGAGAGGTGTGATTGTGTTTTGTTGTTGTTATTGTTTGTTGTGCTTTTGATGTTCTCTGCTGTGGTATAGTGTTGGAATCCTTTTTTATTGTGTGTATGACAGCATGTGATTGTTTTGTCGGGTCTACTGATGTTGTTTGAGGATGGCAATTGCAATTGTCATTCGGTCTTTGATTTTATGACAGTTTCAATTTGTTTTTGCGTGCCCTACACTATTTCGATTCGTAAGTGCCGGCAATTTGTGTTTGTTGTTTATTTGGAAAAGTGGTGGAAGGAGAACTGTAAGAACTTTAAACAGAATAGAGAAAAAGTTAAGTTCAGGTTCGCGCCCCGGATCGTTTGAATTTTAGGGGCTTTGATTACGATATAATTTTTTATCTTCCGGTACCAGAAATCCACGCAAATTTATAAGGACAAAAAATACACTTTTAAAAAATTCCTAAAAGGTTTTAAAAAGTCAAGGTCAATTTATAAGCTCGAAAAAATAATTTTTTTGAAAAATGTAGGCCTATTTATAATGACGAAAAATGTTTTAAAAAACAAGACCAATTTATAAGGATATATATTTTTAAAAAATATATTTTTTTTTTGTTATTTGAATTTTTGTGATCATTTGAAAGTGATTTTAAGTGATTATTTGTACTCTTTCGAGTCGAGCTTGATGATCTTAATTTTGCAATGAAAAGGAAAGCCAGGAGAAGAACCTACGTACCCACCATTATGCGACGCGTTTCGCCGTTGGTTAAGCGGCTCATCAGGCATATTGGGCTATGTGGCTTTACAAAGGTCGTACGTTGATAACTTGTATTTATTCCGCCCTGATGCGAAACTTGCATATGCGAATTAAATTCAAATTTGTCAAAGTTCGACATTTGTCTTCATTCTAGGAACAGTCCTTTTCAAAGCAGATTTGTTGTAGCGATGGATAATTAATCCACACACCTACAATTGCTTCCTGGTATACACATGTTTTTGCGCAACCGTTTTGGAAGTGTTTATGGCTCAGAACGTTAAGCGGTCTTGGCAACATCTGTGTTGCTCTGAGGACCTAGGTTCGAGCCCTAGCCGTGCTCGGCTGAAATTAATTTTTGTTATTTGAATTTTTGTGATCATTTGAAAGTGATTTTAAGTGATTATTTATACTCTTTCGAGTCGAGCTTGATGATCTTAATTTTGCAATGAAAAGGAAAGCCAGGAGAAGAACCTACGTACCCACCATTATGCGACGCGTTTCGCCGTTGGTTAAGCGGCTCATCAGGCATATTGGGCTATGTGGCTTTACAAAGGTCGTACGTTGATAACTTGTATTTATTCCGCCCTGATGCGAAACTTGCATATGCGAATTAAATTCAAATTTGTCAAAGTTCGACATTTGTCTTCATTCTAGGAACAGTCCTTTTCAAAGCAGATTTGTTGTAGCGATGGATAATTAATCCACACACCTACAATTGCTTCCTGGTATACACATGTTTTTGCAAAATTAAGATCATCAAGCTCGACTCGAAAGAGTATAAATAATCACTTAAAAAATATATTTTTAAAAAATCCAGGCCAATTTATAAGGACTATAGAGGCCTTAAAAAATCCAGGCCTATTTATAAGGGTTAAAAAGGTTTTAAAATATCCACGCTTATATATTATATGAACTATAGGACTTTATTAAACATGCATCGGAATGTCCGATTTGGCCCAAATATGCACCGTTTTGCTGTATTATTTGTTGCCATTTTAAAGGTATTTCTCGATAATTTCTCCGATTTAATCGACATTTTCGAAGATCGGCTTTCCTGTGCGAGGTGTATCTTTAACATTAAAAATTCCTGAACGGAATCTACAAAACCAAATGTCACTCTTCCAGCGAGCATAAATTCTGCCGAATAAATAATGGATTACTCTTCCCCCTACATAATATATAGTTCTTCTAAACAGAATTGCAAAATTCGCGTTTCACATAGTCATCTTACAAATTTAAAAAGAATCTACCCTTCTGATACTTACTTAGCTGGATTGTGACAAAACATTTGTTCCATAAGCCCAGCTTAAAAAATATTTCCAGGCGCGTCAGTCTTGTGAGCAGCTCTTCCAATTTGAAAGACCATGTTTTGAGATGTTGTCTTCTTTCTCCCGTCTGCGTTAGCCATCACTTGGCTCGCTTTTATATGCATTTTGATTCAATCTCACAACATGACCTAGCCAACGTAGTTTCTGAAGCTCGATACGTCTGACTATTTCGATGTCCGGGAATAGATGTCCAACGCATGGTTTTTTCGACGGCGATATTCATCTTCAACACAGATCGGTCCAAAGATCTTTCGGAACATTTTTCTCTCAAACACGCCAAGAGCTGTCTCATCTGCTTGCGCAAGTATCCATGTTTCTTATCCATACACCAGCACGGGTAGCATCAGCGTCTTGTAGAGTGTGAGTTTAGTCTGGCAGGAGGTGACCTTGTTCTAGAATTGCTTACTCAGACCATAGTAGCATATGTTGGCCAACACTATCCTTCTCGGCATTTCATTCAATGTTCGACCCAATTGCATCTCATATGATCCAAAATATATTTACATAAAATACCTCAGGGATTTTTTTTATAGAAAATCTGAAGGTCGGCTTAATGAAGTTTAGATGTTCTTCAAGATAAAAACCTAAAATGCCTCTTTGAAAACATCTAAAAAACTAAAGGGTTTGTATAAAATGCCTCTTTGAAAACATCTGAAAAAAACTGAAGGGTTTGTATAAATAAACCTGAAGGATTTCCCGGAGAAACCCAGAAGAAGGATCTAGTTATATAATGACTAAACGAACTGCTTCCTATTTAATACTTGAAGGTCTTCTTATATAGAAGCAGAATGTCTTCTTACTGAAGACCTGCAAATCTTCTCATTAAAGATCTAAGAAAACATCTTATAGAACGAAGGTATTCTTATATAAAACTAGAAGGCCTTCTTACTAAAGTCTGGAAGTTCTTGATTAAAAGGACCTGAGTGACTTCTTATAGAAGAACCGAAGGACTTCTTTCAAAGTAGACCAGTCTTCTTTTAGAGGACCAGAAGGTCTTCCTATAGAGTATCAGACATGGCTATAAACACCTCTGAACGGAGAGGGCTGTCGAAAGCGGATTTATAATCGCCGAATAGGTGAAATGTGTCGTTTGTGTTTTTTTCGTGGGTCTTTTCCAGTATTAGGCGCAGTGTGAAAATCTGGTCAAAGGTGGATTTGTCAGGTATGAAGCCGCATGCCATTGACAATTCTCTTCAGTCGTTCACACAGCGCGCTGGATAGCACTTTATATGCGATGAGAAGGGACACAGCATTCTTGGTTTCCAATCATTGGGCATGCATTCCTCTAGCCAAATTGTACTAATGGTGCATGATTCTGATCAGTGTCTGACCACCGGTCTTGTATAGTTCGGCTGTTATTTCATCGGCACCAGCTGCTTTATTATTCTTTAGCTAATTAATTGCTATTCTGACATCTTGGCTAGGTGATATACAATCTATACCGTCATGTGGGGGTTATCATCTTCACCTCTACTATTTGGTACTAGAAGCTTTGCAAAATACTCCTTCGAGATCCTAAACAAGGTTTCTGCATCTGTCGCCAAGTTTCCTGGCCGTTAAAATTAAAAAAAAAATACTATAATTTTTTAAAAATATTACATATAAATCCCCGCTTTAAAAATAAATATTTCTAACTTCTTGTATACCTGGAATAATCAGCATTGAATCAATCACATTGAACATGTTGATAGTTAACAAAAACCAATGTATTTCATTCCTCGAAATTATTATTCATTCGATTACACACTTCACTGGCGCATTCCTAATTCTATTGAATAATATCAAAGTCGACTTTACATTCTTTCATTTCACATTCAATTGTTTGTTTACCTTTGCTATTTTTACACACACACAAAATCTCTAAGGATATAATGGGCAATTTAATACCAACAACTTCGCAAGAACAACACAAAGAAAATGCCACACCTTTCACAAAAAGATATTGGATTTGTAGCTGACTTGTATATCAGTTTTTATTTTTATTCTTTATGATTTTTCACCTTTCCCCTCCGGAACGTCATCATCATCATCACCAACGATAGATAGTTAGTGAGGAGGTAATGACGTTTAACGGAAATATGAACTTTTGTATCACATGTTTCTGTATTTCTATCTTTTCATTTCCGTTTCGTTGAATACGTCAAGACTTTTAGCCAAAGAGGAGTCTCTGACACGTGTAATGAAGCATTTATTATACAAATAGAAAACATTTTTTGTATTTGTGTGTGTGATGTTGTTGTTGCTGGTCTCTACAATATAATAAATGAATGACCTTGCGAATGTCCTGTTGAAAAAGAAAAAAAACGAACGGAAATCATTTATATGGATTAAGGAGGTATCATCGTGGCATTGTTTAACTAAATATAATTAACGATTTTTTTATGGGTGTCATCGGGCAGATGTGTTAAAACGCATGAAAGCAAAAGTAGTTTTTGTTGTTGGTATATTGTGTGAGAACCTAGATTAATGTATAATTAGTATCCAAATTAAATGAACAAGAATCGGAAGAGTTTCAAGAATTTAATTTCCTTATTAAATACTGGAAATTGCAAGAGTTTCAATTGGGAATTATTAATGAT